GTTGTTTGGCGGGTCCGGGCTGGGGATTCAAACCCGCCACCTTAGGTGTACATGGCTGGCGCCTTAGCCGGTTGAGCTATAGGCGCCGAGCCTCCCCTCATTTTCCATAGGGAAATTGGTGAAATGTGAAAGTCAGTCTGTTGATCAGATAACTGTACTGGATTAATATTAACTTCCTCCCTGACCTCTGGGAGGTCAACGCAGGTGGATGGCTTGAGTTCAGGAGTTTCAGACCAGTCTAAGCAAGAGTGAGACTCTGTCTCTACCAAACACAGACAAAATTAGCTGAGCCTTGTAGCACATGCCTGTAATCTCAGCTACTTGAGAGGCTCAGGCAGGAGGATCACTTGAACCCAGGAGTTTGAGGATGCTGTGAGCTAGGCTGATGCCAGGGCACTCTAACCTGGGGCAAAAGAACAAAACTCTTCTCAAAAAAAAAAAAAAAAAAAAAAAAAAACTAAATAAATTAAATAAAAATGATCCAGTTATTTTTTAAAATTAGATTTCCTTCATATACATAAACAAAAATAGATTTCACACAAGCTAAGAATTTCGATGTGAAAGGCAAAAAATTAAAGAAAAATACTTGGTAATGGCTGAGTAGACCCTATTAGATCAACTCTGCTGGGGAAAACAACTATAAACTCTGGACTACTGCCAGAAGAAACTGGAGAGAGACCAAAAGCAAGCAGATGCTAGAAGTCAATACTTGGAAAGGAAAGGTATTGAGCAAAACTCTACTTTTAAGGCCTTTAGCCTGAGGGCAGGCCCCAAGGCAGGAAAACTGATACCGGCTTGAGGAACTAGAGTAGTTCATCAAATTTAAAAGTTCTGTTTGTCCAAAGGTACTATTAAAATGAACTGGCAAGCCAGGTGCTAGGGAAAAACATTCCCGAGATACAAATCAACAATATATAGGAAGAATTCCTACAAATCAGCAGTAGAAGAACAAGCAATCACCATTTTTAAATATGCAAAATGTTGAAAGAGTTCTTCACAAAAGAAGACATTATCAATCACAAAGTATAGGAAATGGTATTCAACATACATTAGAAAATGCAAATTAAACCAGAAAATACTATTTGACACTAATTAGAAGGGTGAATCTGAAAGACTAAAACTGTGGTGAGAATGCAGAACTGGAACTCTCACGTGTTGCTGGTGTCCATATAAAATTATATGACCACATTGAAAGAATCAGGTAATTTCTTACAGAGTTAAAATGCATCCACCATGACCTAGAAATTCTCCTAAGGATTCAGCTAAGAGAAATGATGTATTTCCACAAAAGTCTTTTTTTGTTGTGTTGCAGTTTGGCCCTGGCCGGGTTTGAACCCGCCATCCTCGGTATATGGGGCTGGTGCCCTACTCACTGAGCCACAGGCACCGCCCTCCACAAAAGTCTTGTACAATAATGTGCAGAGCAATCTTATTTGTAACAGTCAAAACCAAAAAACAATCCGAATTCCATCAAAAGGAGAAAGATAAACAAATTGTGACTTATTCACACAATGGAATACCATTTCAGCAATAAAAGGGATCAGTTCTGATGTATGCAACATGAATGAATCTCAAAACCACTATGTTGAATAAATAAAGCTAAACACATCTATAATATAATCTACTAACTAATCCATGTTTACATCATTCAGAGTGATGCTGGGCAGAGGACTAGGAAGTGACTGAAAAAGGATACAAGGAAATTTTCCAGGAAGATGAAAATGTTTTTTATATCCGACTTGAGCAATGGTTACATGGATGCATATGTTTGTTGAAACTCACTGAACTGTACTCTTAAGATCTGTAGCTATGGTGGTGCCCATAGCTCAGTGGGTAAGGTGCTGGCCACGTACACAGAGGCTGGTGGGTTAGAGCTCAGCTTGGGCCTGCTAAACAACAATGACAACTGCAACTAAAAAATAGGCAGGCACTGTGGTGGGCGCCTGTAGTCCCAGGTACTTGGGAGGCTGAGGCAAGAGAATCGTTTAAGCCCAAGAGTTGAAGGTTGCTGTGAGCTGTGATGCCACAGTTCTCTACTGAGAGTGACATAACGAGACTCTGTCTCAAAAAAAAAAAAAGTCTGTACAACTGGCTGGGCAGAGTGGTCACACCTAAAATCCTAGTTAGAACTCTAGGAAGCCGGCTCGGCGCCTATAGCTCGACCGGCTAGGGCGCCAGCCACGTACACC